TTGTTTCCTATGTTGGGATTCCATCATGTTCCTCAGATCCTCTATTTTTTTATCTGTGTCCTCTCTAGATTTATTAATCATGTCTTGTGCTATGAGCACAATCTTTGCTGTTGTCTAAGAAATTATTTCTGATTTCATTTTTCCCAGATCCTCTGTTGTTGCCAGTTCAGGGAGTGAAGGTGTTTGAGTATCAGATTGTTCCATCTCGCTTTCCTTTGGGGTTGCTGTAGGTGATCTGGAAATCTGGTTTTGAGGCTTGTTTATATGTCTTCTCATTTCCACGGCGGGGTGGGGAGTTGCTTCTGGAACCTACATGTCTCACCTTCTCTACCCTAGGAGTGTGGAATGGCAGTTGGGGAGCCTCCTCCCGGGCGCTCGGACTGGCTCACCTGCTCTGCCCTAGGAACATGGAATGGTGGTGGGAGAGCCTCCTCCTGGGCGCTGGCACTAGCTCACCTTCTCTCTAGAAATTACTCTTTCCATGTTGACCTCACATTTTTGTTGTTTTATTAGATGAGAGTAACTGTATAAGTAATTCTGGTAACCATAAAGCCATAGAAAACATGATGAGTTCTTTCAGTCTGATTACACTGCATTTATTGACCATCAGCTAGAAAAAGACACATTTATCTAGAGCAGTTATCAAGTGACTTCACAGGGAAGTGTGACATAGAGGTTACTATTGTGGGTTTTTTAAAATCATCAACAGAATCTTGTAAACTCAAATGTAGTTCTTATGTGTGGTGTTTATAGATCACCTATTAAATATGCCATGTGTGCATTGTAGAGGAAGGTATTTTTAAAAATAATCATAATTTCAAAATATGCATCAGAATATAATACTTAACATAAAAATTTTTTCCCTAATCTCACTTTGTCTTTTTGTTGTTGTTGTTATTGTTGTTTTGTTTTTGAAGACAGGGCCTCACTATGTAATTCACACTGGCCTTGAGCTCACTGTGTAGCGCAGGCTGGCTTTCTGTCTCAGCCTTCCAAGTACTGAGATTATAGGCGTGCACCACCACATTCAGCTTCCAACCTTATTTTTTCCTCCTTTGATTTCTGAATTATAAGAAAATGTGTTCTAGGATGCTGTTTTTTACTTATTATTTTAATATTTTGGAAACTTTTAAATTATTAGAATTGTTTTTTTACCTAACCTATAGTGTCTTGGATTATCATGAACAAGATTATTGAAGGTGTCTGGTTTCATTGATGCATATTTATTTTCAATGTTTAAATTATTTTAAAAATAGTTCTCTATTAGAAAAAATTAAGCATTTCCAATAAATAGTAGTTTGTGTACAAGATACTAAGTATACAGAAAGAGCCATCTACCCACATAATTTATTTAGGATGGTATGGTGTGTCCTGCTGTGTGTCTTCTTTTAATGTGAATTAGTTCACTTGTGATTGGCAAATAGGGCAGTTGACAATATAATGGAGAAATTGTGTTTGTTCTTGCAAGAACAGCCAGAATAAAGTGCGTATTAACACAGCTGAATGCGTTAACTCCATCCATGTCCGTCTCCTCTTTGTCTTTACTTGTAGCTGTGAGCTCCGTGTTTGAATCACTTATTTGTGAATATCCCCCCATTTTGAGGTATTTTCCTCATGCTTCTGTAATTTGATAATCCCAGTTCTTTCTTCTGTATTCTATCTCCTTCCATTAAGTAACCATCACTTGGTTAAGGTACTTTATTCAATATTTTTCTGTTAAACTCACCAAGTTATTTTTTAACTGTGCTAAGATTTTTTATTAGGATTTAATTGTTTCTGTGAGTGACCTGGTTACAAAGTTGGATAGGTTTTGAGTTGTCAGCCTCAATCCTTTTTCTCTAAGTGCTGTTATTTTAAAATACTGTTCACATACTGTTTTTAAAGAATATGAGGTTTTTCAGGAATACATAAATATTTATGACATGATAGAACGTCTGGAGACAGCCGACTATATTGTGAACAAAATGATGTTGGAAATACAGAAAGGAAGCAATTTGCTGGGGCAGATTTAGAAGGGTATAACTGGAGGTTTTATTTTACACAGAAGTATGTGGGAACAACATGAACAGACACAATTGTAAATTCTAGGAATACTTTACACAGGAGGCACTGTGGCGAGAGATGCAGACAAGGTAGTTAAGGCGGACTGAGGTAGTGGAGGGTCTTTAGCATCTTTAGTCACATGAGTAATGTGGTGCTGTTTGTTATGTGTTCAGCAAGCATTTGGTGTCTGTTCACTGGTTTGGGATGATTGGAAGGCAGCGGGCTCAGGACCTTCCCTTCAGCAAGCCTGGAGACCCAAGTGCTTCAGTGACTGAATTCTCTGCGTTACAGCCCAGCTGCTGACTCTTTGGGTTGCTAGAGGTGGATTCTTTCACACTCTGATCTCTTTTTGGCTTTCTGTGCCTGGGTACCAGAACGGTTGAGGATCTCTGTTGCCCCTGGTCTTACAGGTTGTACACAGCAGCACTATCATTAGGGGCCTAACGGGGACAGTGTTGAGGGACTCACTCTGAGCTGATGTTCCTCAGCTGTGAAGAGCGGCTGCCACCTTCTCCCTGAGGCCCTAGAGTGCTTTCAAAGTGCTGTTCTCAGTTCTCCCCGGCCCAACTCTAGGCTCTGTGAATCTTGCCTTGGAGGGCGGAGTCTGCCCTGTTGCTCTGCGTGTCCCTGAAGTTTTGCTTTTTTTTTTACATAAGCCCTCAATGAGGCCTGTGGGGGAAATAAATGTAGACTGTATAGCTGAGGTTTCTTTGGATTTTTAACTGTTGTGAAAGGCTTCACTTGGCCCTTAAAACTCTATAAAACTTTCGATCCAGCTCCAGGCCACTGCTACCTCTTTTTTCTTATTATGGAAACAACACATATTGCAGAAGGAAAGGGAGGTAAATATGGGTCTTAAGTAGTAGACTTTCCTTCTTTACAAGACCATGGCCCTTGAAGTCCTAGCTACATTGGTGGTTCTCTGATACCTTCCCTCATTGATTGGTTGATTGGTTGATGCCGAGAATAGAACCCAAAGCCTCATGCATGCTGGGCAGGCAGTCTATCACTGATCTACACCCCAGCCCTTCTGATACTTCTGTTTTGAATTCAGCTTTTTTCATAACAAAGCAGAAGGAATTTTTAGAAATACTTTGTAGTTGAAAAAAAATAAGGTACTTGAGATTAAAGCTAACGGAAGATGTTGAAGATTTTTGTAGAAAAAAATTTTTAAATGTATTACAAAACATTAACACTTAAATAAATGTAAAGATATCATGAAGATGTCAGTTCACAAGCCAATCAAAATACCAACTCATTTATTCAAAAGATGATGATGAAATGATTCCAAAACACATATATAGAAGAAAAAGGCCCAAGAAAGAGTCACTCTAGAGAAGAATAAGGTTGAAGGAGGACTTATTTATCAGATGGATAAGCTTAATTTTAAAGTAAGATTAGTGTAGTATTATGTTGACATAGAGTGGTCAGATTAGACAAAGGACTCAGTCTAGAAAGAAAAATGACAGAGGTAACATTGCAGATCTGTGTGCAGAATATGGACTAATCAGTATATTGTGGTATGTGATTATTTGTGTAAAAATAAATGTAGATCTCTATTCCATACTATTCAAAAAATCAATCCCATATTTTAAAAATTTCAGTGTGAGAGGCAAAATTTTAGGTGGTTTAAGAGTTTATAATTTCAGAGTAGAAAAATGATTAATAATAAGGAAAGGCACTACTCATAAAAATAGGTTGGTAATATGACTGCAGTATTAAGTTAATAAATTTGAGTGTTATTGATAAGAACTCTCATCCCGAGGTGTCATTAACAAAGGATAAGAAACATCTGTAGTACTAATATCACTAGCAGAAGATCAGATTATATAAGGGATCCTTACAAATGAATAAGAAAAATATTTGAAGACATTTCTTAGAAGAGGAATGATATATGATCATGAGGAAAAACTGTTCAATCCCATAATTAGAGAACAGAAAATGCAGTAAGATACCATTTCATACCTGCTAGGTAGGAAACACTGTGAAAAGTCTGGTAATACCAAGTCTTGGTGAGTATATGGAGCAAGAAGAACTGTTATATGGTTGATGAACTATTCACCAATACTTGGAAATACAATTTGCATGATTTTATAAAACTGAACAAGTGTATACCTGGGTTTATTACTGGATATATCTGTGGATATTGACATTTGTGGATTGAGAGTTATATACATAATTGTTTATAACAACGTATCAGTAATAAAAACTTGAAAAATCAAGTATTAATTGACAGGAAAATGGATATACCAGTATAAACCAATGAATTACATAGACTACGAACTTGAAAGTATGTTATCTCTCCAATATAATCTATTTAGGACTGCATAGAGTTTGATACCTTTTGTAATGCCCCAAAACAAGCACAATAGAAGCAGATTAAGTACTACTATTCAAATATAGTTTTTTAAGGAAAGCATTTCTTTGCTCAAAATTCAGGGAATTATGACTCCTTCCTGGGATTTCTCCCCAATAGTTAAGTGATTGTATCAGATAGGATACCAGTTTCTCTGACTTGATGAAGTTCTAGCTCCTTAGTTGTGTTATGAGTGACCACTGTTTCTAATTTTCATGTGTTCTTTTGTAGGCATGAATTAATTGCATTTTATTGAGTAAATCATGTTACAACCACCCACATTTCTACTGGAAATGTTTTCTTTAGTAGCTAAACACTGATAATCAAGTGATCTTGGTAATCTAATGAATTTTTTCTATTTCTTCTAAGTCTGTGTGTTTCTTTCATGACTATTTCTACCCAAAGAAATACAGTACCATAGGAGAGCTACAGGTAGACAGCTTGGGTTTACACTCTACTCCACCATTCATCCCTTGGGTGGCTTTGGACAAGTTATAACTGGCTCAGTGACTTAGTTGGCAAAATGGAGGAAACAATAGCTCCTAATTGTGAGGATTAAATGAGTTCTAACATTTGAAGTATAAGAAACAGTGCCACATACACAGTAGATGAGGGCTAAATGCATTGGTGCTTTTATTTTTGTGATAATTATTAATCTCCAGTAATTGACCATAAGAAATGTTTCTTGAATGATCTAGAATCTGTTGAAGTCTTATCCTTCTGATAAGTGTTCCACATTTTTCCCTAGAGAAGCATGCCACCAGGACATTGTGAATTTGCAAGTGGAGATGATTAAACAGTTTCATATGCAACTGGTATGTATGGCAGATTGTCTTCTAAGTGAATATGAAGTGGCATGGATCTAGAAACAGTCCATTATAGGGCAATGCATTTTTGTCATTACAGCTGCTAAGACGAAGAGACTTTCAGAAATTTAATACGTAAAATAGATTTTAAGTAGTCACCTTTTTTTTTTTTTAAAACTTGTAATAGTTAAGGCTATTTTTTACAGCTTTTTTCCCCTTCAGTAAGTGGAAAGATGCCCCAAATCTGTGAATATAAATCTTCTCCATGTTACCAGTGATTTTTGTGGTTAAATACAAGAAATACCATTCAGCTAGTTAAATGAACATGAGAGAAATGATAGCTGAAAGCATATAAAACAGCGTGCCAAGTAAATGTGAAATACCAATCATTTACAAAACATTTCCGTTTTCTTCTAGAATGAAATGCACGCTTTGCTTGAGAGATACTCAGTGAATGAAGGTTTAGTGGCTGAAATAGAAAGACTACGAGAAGAAAACAAAAGACTACGGGCCCACTTTTGAAATTTCAGTGAATACCTTAATGTTTAGTAATTTTTGAAGTTTCTGGTAACACAGAACTACATAGAATCAGTATTGTGTTCATGACCTCTGCGGGATGCTTTTTCAGGTTCAGGGTGTTGAGATTTTGTACCAACCATTGTTTCATCCTCTCTGTCAAAAATATTTATATTTTTATATTAAATACTGCAATATTTCATCTGCCTTAAGGAAATTCACAGGGTCTTTATTTTCTGAAAGCTTTATACACTAAGTGCCCTTTTTCATGAGCAAATAAAATTTCATAAAAATAGAATTTCATAAAAAATGTTTGTTTTTTCATTACCTTTTTTTACTGATACATATTTGATTGACAAATTACCTTACAAATTTTTGGGGTGTAGTTGAGATTTAAAACTTTCATATGCTTTCTATTTTTGTGCAGAAAGAAATTTTAAAATGGCATTTGATTTTTTTTAAAGCCACTGACAAATAAAACAGAGTTGGCTAGTAATTATTTTATTAACTTGATGACATGAAGTATGACTATTTATTTCTTGTACATGTGATAATTTTTGAAATTTTGAATTGTACAAATAAACTATATCTTTTGCATTAATGCTAATGTACTTCTGCTAGCTCTCTACTCCTGCTTGGTATTTATTACCTAACTTTGTGAGAGCTAATATATCTGCTGATAATTTTATGAATTAATAACATTTAAATTTATACTACAAAGTTTTCTTCACCATGACTCAGCATACAATCAGTGGAAATTTCATATTAGATGCAAAATACTATAGTATTATTGCCACTTTTTTTCCCAAGTGAAAAATATGGATTATTTTGTTCTGTGGTTTGTAGTGTAAACTTTCTCTAATTCCTTGTGTGTTGTGGATTTTAAAAATTATTGACTTTACCATAAAATTATTTATAAAGGTTCATTATGAAAAGAATTTTTGCTTCTTGGGCAATAGTTGAACATGTAGAGCTACCTGCTGTGATCTCTACTTTTAGTGGTGTAGGATAAGGAGGTCTGCTCACATGTTTACGTTATGTCTCTTGTCCTAAGATTTAAACTCTGTGTATCATCTGTTTAACTCGGCTGCCCAATTTTGGCTTTTGAGTTGAAAATATTTACCAGAATTTGAAAAGAAAAAAAACCACACACACACACACAGCCCTAGTTTAGCTTGCTAACTTTGTTTTTCCGAAGTGATGGAAAATAGTAAAAATCTTAAGTAAGTATGAACATACTAATAATTTTGTCTGAAAATGAAAACCAGTGATTTTACTTTTCCCCAATACTCATTAAAGAATGCATTTGTATTAAAGCATATAGAGATGTTAATGTAATCTTTTCCTAGCAGATTATCAAAGCTCTATAACTTGTACCAAGTTTTCTTATATGTCACTATCAAATAGGTTTGGAAGTCATAATACAGTATTAGTGTGCTTTGCCTACCTGTTGTATTTAAATCTATTAATATTTTCCTGCCTTTTCTATACATGCATATGATGTATATTAAAAGAAGTGGGATAAACAAATTAATTTTATGAATTTTATGTGTATAGATGAAACATTTTTGTCATGGATTTAAAAGCTAAGTACAACATATAAAAATTTTATATTCAATAAATAAGAGATCTGAAACAAAGCTTTGCCTGTGGCCAAAAATGGAATAATAAGGATTGAATTTATTTTCCCACTGTAAATTAAAGAAGGACAATAACAAAACAGACAAAATATGTGAAATAGTTAATCAGATATTGGACATTATGCAGTGAACCTTGAGAGAGGGAAACAAATGAGACCCGAGAAATTCAATGAACTGAAAACACAAGTAATAAGAACAAAACTATATCAAAGTCCTTAAAGCCAGCAACAAGAGAAAATTCTTAAAAGCAGCTGAAGAAACAGACATATAAGAACAAAGAAGGTCACAGTAGGGCAATACCTATTTTTTATACACATTTTCCTTTTATGTTTTTGCAATTTATTTTTTATTTTGTTTATTAGCACATGCTTGCAGCACATGTTTACAGCCCTTGTGGGGAGTTGGCACATCTGAATTTCCTTTTTCCCTCCCTTGCTCCCCCAGTCTCTTGATCCCCTTCCCATTTGAGAAAGAGCCATCTTCCTATTTCCTGTTATCTGTCTTTTATTTTGCTCTTTATTTGCATTGTGAGTTTCTCATAAGAGAAGCCATGCGATTATTTAAGCTTGTGTGTCTGATTTATTTTAGTTAACATTATGGTCTCAAGGTGCATCCATTTTCCTACAGATTACTCAAGTTTATCTTTATGGCAGATTGTTACTTCATTGTGTGTATATTTCTTTATCCATTCATCTGTTGGTAGACATATAGGCTCCTTCTAAGATTTAGCTATTATGAATTACACTGCTGTAACAAGTATGCATGTATCTCTAATCTGATATCTTTAACTCTTGGGAAGATACCTAGAAGGGGAATAGCTGGAGCAAATGCAATATTAGTCTTAGTATTTTGAAGACTCTCCATATTGATTTCCATGGTGGTTATACTAGTTTATATTCCCAGCAACAGTGTAGAAGGGTTTCTTTTTCCCTCGCAGTCTTGCTAGCATTTGTTGTTACTTGATTTCTTGATGATAGCCATTCTTTCTGGGGTAAGATAGAGTCTGTTGTTTTAATGTGCATTTCTCTAATGGCCAGCGATACTGAACATTTTTCCATGTATTTAGTGGCCATTTGTACTTCTATGCAGTGTCTGTTCATTTCACTTGCCTATATTTTGATTGGATCTTTTATTTGGGGGTGGTCTAATTTTTTTTGAGTTTTTTAGATAAATTAGTCCTCTGAGGATAACTGGCAAAATTTTTTTCCCATTCTGTAGGTTGTCTTTTGTTGGTTGTTTACTTTGCCCTACAGATGCTTTCTAATTTGATATGTTCCCATTTGTTGATTCTTGGTGCTGTTTCCTGTGCAACTAGGGTTCTGCATCAGTGTATTTACTGAAAGAAAAAAATTTCTATTTAGAATTCTGTACCTAGTGAAAATATGAGAAACAAAAATTTAAAAAAACTACAGACCTAGGAAAGTTGAAAAAGTTCATCACAAACAGAAAGCCTGTGGAAATGTTAATGTCTTAGGAGTAACATGATACCAGGTGGAAATTTGCAACAAGAATGAAATGAAGAACATAAAAGGTTAATATGTGAGCACAGGATTAAAAAATTTTAATTGGTATTTCAAAGGTAATAGATTACTTAAAGCAAAACAAGATAATATGTGGTTGACACTCAGAGTTAACACTGCACCACGACTGCGAGGTTGGAAGGTTCCTAAACTAATGAGCGAGATAGTGTTACCTGAAAATAAACTGCAGTAAGCATGTAAGCTGTGAATGCTAAATTTAGCATCCAGAAAGAAACTTAATAAATAGCTAATAAGTCAATAAAAGTAATAAAATGCAACAGTTAAATCCAAAAGGAGACAGAAAAAAGAACAAACAAAATACTAACATGGTAGATTTAAATAGCTATATCCATTATTACATTAAATGTCATCTCACAGAACTTATTATTCAGTAATGATTTCAGATAGGGTCTTTAAAAATCTAACTAGAAGACAGGTGTGGTGGCACACACCTGTAATCCCAGCTCGGGAGGCTGAGGCATGATAATCACTGCAAGTTGGAGGCCAGTTTGGGCTACATAATGAGTTCAAGGCCAGTCAGAATTACATAGCCAGACCCTGTCCCCCCAAAAAAACAAAGAAATTCAACTATATACTGAATACAGTAACCCCAATTTAAATATAAAGACACAGTTTAAATGTGAAATGAAATGTTAGTACGTTGAATGCAAATGAAAACGAATTAAAAATTTGTGGGAATTAGAGCAGTGATTATGGAGCAGTCTGTCTGTCTGTCTGTCTGTCTGTCTATCTATCTATCTATCTATCTATCTTTAATCAATAACCTCAGCTTCCACCTAAAGCCAGAAAAATAAGTGAACTCCAAAGTAGAAGAAGCAAACCAAAAAAGTACAATATAGGGGCTGGGGATTTAACTCAGTGGTTCTGCTGCCTGCCTCGAAAGCAGAAGGTCCTGAGTTTGATCCCTGGTACCAAAAAAAAAAAAAAAAAAGTACAATATAATTGGAAAACAAAACCAGTTGAGAAAGCCAAAAAGTTGTTTAGCGATCAGTTCTGTGGCCCCACTAATGAGAAAAAGACATCCATTACCAATATCAGGAATGAAAAACAGCATCACTACAGACTCTACAGATATTTCTGGCAAAGAAAATGCTAAATATGAAAGACTATACTGTTGAATTTTTTCAAATAAATATCCCAAAGAAGGAAAATATCCCAGTTCTCAACAAATGGTTATAAGAGAAAGAAAAAAATAATTCTCAGCTTCTTGAGGCCAGTGTTACTCTGATACCAAAATAAGGCAGCATGATGACAGCAGAACTGGTTGCTGTTATATGGATGTCCTCACTTGGTGAAAGTACATTAAAGTGTAGTGCTCACTTCAGCAGCACATGTAATACATTAAAGTGTAACCCTGTGATAGAAACTTATTAAGGTATGTTAAACTTCAGTAAATACTTAACACAATAAGAGTCTCAGTGGGCTGGGGATTTAGCTCAGTGAGGCAGCACCTGCCTCCCAAGTGCAAGGTCCGGAGCTTGATCCCTGATACCAAAAAAAAAAAAAAAGGATCAGTGGAACAAATAGGAAACAATAGCAAGGTGGTATATTTAAAACCAAAAATACTAGTAATCATAGTATAGATAGAATGCCCACTCCAGTTAAAACAAAAATTGGCAGACTAGAGTTTTTAAAAACTAAGTGCTGATGACAAGATATTTTGAAAGTTTAGGCTACAGAAAGAATGATAAAAGTGGAAAAAGTTACTTGTAAACCATGCAAAATCTAGCAAAAAAAGTATTAATAGAGTGAATTTTAAGACCAAAAAAAAAAAATCACTGGAGATAAAGATACTTCATAACATAAGTTTCAGTTCACTGGAAGGACATAAAAACTAATATTTCATGCACCTAATAACAGCCTTGATACATAAAGCAAAGGACCAGGTCAACAGTTCTGGGGGAGACTTTTTTTTTTTTTGGTACTGGGGACCGAACTCAGGACCTTGCGCTTGTGAAGCAGTTGCGGTGCCACTGAGCTAAATCCCCAGCCCCTGGGGGAGATTTTAACACGCTTCTCTGAGGAGATGATGGAAGTAAGGCACAAAATGTTCAGTTAACTTCTGTTTCATTTGCTGAGAGGGTTTTTCTTTTGTTTAATTGCAAATGAATTATCAATTGCTTTTACTGCATCTATTAACATATAATTTTCCTTTTAATTCTATGAATATAGTAATTTGTATTGATAGTTAAATGTTAAAGCATCCTTGCACTCTGAACAAACCTCATTCATCAGCTTGGATTTACTTTGCTAGTATTTAGGATTATTTCATCTATGTTTATGAGAGAGATTAACCTTTAACTTTCCCTTTTTAGAACAGCCTTATCAAATCTGAGTATCAAATTTATGCTGAATGCTAGAAAAAAAATTTGCCAAATACCTAGTAAAATGAGAGGCTTTTGACAATACCGTCTGGAGTGAATTCACCCATTGCTCAAGGCAGAGGCATAGAGAGTGGATGGAATCGGACCACCTTGCTCTAACCAGGGCATTAGGAGAGACAAAGAGGTGGTTTATAGGTTTGCTGAGGCTTCTGCCTGGCATCCGCCTGTTTCCATGCAGCCCTCCCATTGTATGAATGTGTCGAATTTTATCAACTGTTGAATTCTGTTGGATATATGTAGAAATGGTTACAGATTATTGATTCCTTGGTGGTATATTTGATATTCACAATAAACTTGAAATTTGATTAACAACAATCCTTCCTTCTCCACATATGTCAAATAATAGTTTTTGTAATAGTAAGGTAAATTTATGCACATAGAGAAATGACAATGGTGGTTGAACATAGTTGACATGTCCTTGATGTAGATGTTGTGGGTCCCATTCAAGTGACATGTGACAAGCAGCTCACTCAAAATGTCAGAAATCAATTTTGCTTCGTTTTGCATTCAGACAAATTGAACTTTTCAAAATTTATTTGAAGCACATCTTATGTCAAAAGATACCTACTCTATTATTTGAATACTAGTGACATGAGAAAACATTTTCTCTCTCATTTTAAAAATGAGCATCTCGCTAAATTTTTATCTGCCAAAT